TGGAATTGGCAGCTATGAATTTCCCAATATTGTTAAAGCCACCATTAATCAGCCAATAACCTTGCCATTTATAATCACAAGCAAAGAATTAAAAAACATTAGAAAAAGACAAGAAAATGAAGTGGCTCACTAGAAGTGGGTCTCCTTGTTAGAATTATTCATTGGAGAGTCAGTCAAGCACTGATTTCGCTGTCACTGAAAAGGTTGAACGAGAGCAGGGGACGCTTGCTCCTGAAATTTATGAGACTGATATCAAATATCTATCAGACACCGCAGAAGAAAATACAACAAATTCTTCACTGACAACGCTGAAGTCTCTGGATATTCTTACATTCTTCTGCACCTGTGGAGAGTGTCTCCAAGGCAATAGGACCACTCAGTCATGAGAAAATCACTCTATTTAATTCATTCTACAGTACAAGTGTTACCTCTATACAGTTGTATTTGAGATGATCATCACACAGAATAAAGTTCTCAATCACTATTATGGAAGACTGAGTACTTTTCTTCGTGTTTTTGAAGTGATTTATTCAGTAGCTGAAGTGTACTACTCAGACAAGTGCTGGAACAGCTTGGGTACGGGCTGATTCAAGCATTGAAAAAGTTTTGCTTGAAGGAAGTAATTGATTAAGTACCTGAAATGAGATGCAAAGCTTCCACGTGACTTGTGCACGCTGGTGTTGCGTTATCAAGAGGGAAGGAATTAAGAAGCCGGCCACTCTGTGTGTAGGTCTCCACCCTTCCCCACTGGGTGATCTACTTAAGGAGATTGTCCGCTGCTTCCAAGCCTTGTACTTTCAAGCAGAGTTTTCAAACTATTTAGGATTACAAAGGTGCAGTGAAGCATCTAATAGGATTTCTGAAGAGACTTCGCTATCTGACTCCCATCCAAAACCAAAAAGTACCACACAGAAAGTGTTTTGAGTTGATCATTAGCAACGAACTGAAGGCGCGAAGATGGCTGGAATTTCATAATTAGCTCTAAAACGGCGAATCCTGACACATTACAACATGCACCATGGCCAAGTTACCATTAACAGACACCCACCATGGTCAAACAGGGAGAAAAAAATCAGATGAGGGAGCTGTGGAATGGGCTGAACTATCAAGACCAGGTTGGATGGGGCTGTGAGCAACCTGATCTAGTTAGCGGAATCCCTGCTCCCTGCAGGGGGGTTGGACTGGGTGACCTCTAGGGGTCCCTTCCAACCCAAAACATTCTATGATTCTATGATCCTCGCTGTTGTTTTTTCCTGCTTGACGGACTAGAGAAGGAGTACAGGCTGATAGAGCTCAAACCCAGGTGACTCGGTTAAACATCTGCAGTCGGGTGAAAGAAATAAACAGTCTAGAGCGTAGGTCAGAGAGTTTATCATTAGTTCTGTCCCACCACAAAGGTGTCACTACCGAACACTGACAGACCATGACCGTAAGAAAAGCTACCGTCTTCTCTACAACCTGCCTGCCGAGAAGATAAACAGCCCTGAGCTTAAAGCACGGGCTACGTTTTGGTTCTGACTCTGCCTCAACTTCACTTCGTGATACTAGGAAGCAATATAGGATTAGATTTTAGAATTAGAGACTTTTGCCTAAAAATACAAATTGTAACAACTCCCTGTATTTCCAGACACGAGTAACAGCCGTGCCCAGCCACCCGCATTCGTAGGGCGTGCGTGCAGGTGGCCAACAACGAAGGAGGAGCAAACCCCACGCAAATATCACTACGAGGAACCGCAGCCTTACATATTCAACTATTGCTACAGCAACCCTATGGCACCTCTACGGCAGGAACCACCAGACAAGGGGGGATGACGAAGGCAGGATTTTCCAGTATTGCCAATACTGGGAAGGGAATAAAGCCACCGGGCCAGCCGGGGGGGGGGGGCTGTTAGCTTCCACTTTCAACACCCATGTGCATCCCTCTTCTCAATCTCTCAACTGGAAGGTCTTGGGGAAGATGTCCAGGAGGTGCTTTTGTGCAGGCCTGAACACAGAGAGAAGAAAATTGTTCCCAGGAGGAAGATCAGGCACGCGTATACGTGCACACGTATGGCGGCAGGGCGTTTTGCATCCCCTTTCAACCTGGTAGGGCAGTAGTTTTAACAGAGGAGTTCATCGTCATTTCTCTCAGGACTTCAGCACAAGCTTATAGCAGTAAAATAATGCCTCACATGGACCTGGATTATTGGGTTTGGGCATCTGTGTGCGAAAAACGGTGACTGTAAATGACAGTCAGGCTGGATTTCTGAAAGGCAGCTGATGTCAAACAAATCTCATTGCTCTTTAATGAAAGTATCTACCGCTCTAGAATCTAAATGATACAAAGGTTTGCAGCGTGCTTCAAAATAGCATACAAAGGAAAAATAAAAAGAAGCACCGCAGCGAACCTCAGGAAGCTACAAGAACTCAATTTTTTGGCTACGTACATCACAGACTGGGTTGAGGCGAAGTGGGGTGTCCTCTCCAGAGCCTCTGTCTAACGAGACAACGGAGAGCCGAGGAGCCAAGAGGAGCAATCGTTGAAAGCCACGAGGATGGAAAGGGATGAGGTCTTTGGAGGGGAGAGAAAACTTACAAAAGTTCATCATTCATTTAGGTATCAGACTTCATTGCTGCTTTCGCATATTACGTTCAAGATAATGTAGACCCCTCGTGCGAGGTTTCATAGGAAATTTTACAACAGGTTGGGACGAGTCCACGTAACATCTAGGAAATATTTTTCCCCTCATTCCTGCCGGCAGCACATTTTGATTCATAACCATATTGAAAACAGTGTTTTTAT